TGGTGAGTCTTTACTTTTACTATCTTCTTTTTATTTTGCTTGTTTTTTTTTAACTACTGAGGCTCAAAGGTATACAGAGATTGGGTTCACTGTTGTGGCCTGACTCTGGGCTCGGGGTTTGTTTTTCTATCTTACCTAATTTTAGCGTATGGCGATTTATAAAAGCTACAGCCGGCAATCCCTGTCTCCCACGTAATAACTTTGGAATTTACATGACTAGTCGAGATGGCCTTTTACTTTTTCAGGGCTGGGTGAGCTGGCTGCTGAAATATGAATTTATTCGGCTAATGCTAGGGCAGGTCTGTTCAAGGAGTTTTCCAAAAGTGTCGTCTCACCATCTTCACTCTTCACTGGGTGGAAGAAGAAGATAAAAGAAAGCAAGCAATGAAGCCGTAGCATAGATGATACGAACGAAAGCACTATGCAACTGAATTGGAAAAAATTTATCGTTCGAAGGCGAAGTCGTTTTCCCCCTTGGCAATGACTCCAAAAATTTACTTCAATTTTCTTCAAGTGGACAGTATAATCTTGAGTAAGGCCCACTCCCATCGCACTTGAGCACACCATATCTTATCTAGTTTCTCACAATTGCTCAGCATTCGACCAGGTATTCATCGGGACCACTTCTTGCCGTCTATTCTTTTAAATTACGCCATTAGGTGACTTTTCGAGGACGTTGAATGAAGTTATGTCGAATTTTTACCGAGACAACGGCAATAGATAGCTATATTAGTCTATAGGATGTAGTATTTCAGATTATTAAGGTTGACCTTTCTATCAGCCCTGTCATAGCCTGAAGAGACAAATCATTTCTGTTAGGTCAGAAGCCAGTTCGCTTCAAAATTGCAGCCTCATCATGTAGTGTGTGTGTGTCGTAGCCCATTGTTGGATCAGAAATCCCCACCGGAATCCAAACTATTTTGTCTAGTGTTAATGTATGACTATCTGGCGAAAGCTTGTTAACTGCAGCCGGCCATTCTTATCTCCCGTGCTTTTACTTTGGAATTCACATGACCAGTCGAACTTTCATTTTATTCTTTAAGGGTTACTGGGACTAACGGCTAAAATACAAATTTATTTGACTAGTTTTAGGGCAAGGTTTTTCAAGAAGTCTTCCAAAAGTGCCGCCTCATCATCCCCACTTTTCACTGGGCGGAAGAGGAAGGTAAAAAAGAAATCAGGTGGTGAAGCTGTAGCGTAGATGATCCAAAAGAAGGCACTATGCCACTAATTGAGTTAAATAAATTTTATTGTTCGAAGGCGAAGTCATTTTCTATCTTGGCAATGACTCCAAATATTTACTGCAATTTTCTTCCAGTCTCTGTAGTGGATAGTAAGGCCTACTCCCATCCCACTTGAGCACACCATGTCCGAGCTAGTTCCTCACAATTGTTCGGCATTCGGGCAGGCATTCATCGGGACCACCTTTTGCCGTCTATTTTTTAAAGCTGCGTCACTAGATGATTTTTCAAAAGTGTTGTGTGAAGTTATGGTCGTGTCGAATTTGTACCGAGACAACGGCAATGCATAGCGATATCGTTCTACAGGA